GGAAAACAGTACACAATTTTCCTAACAAACTTGTCTGAAATTATGTCATGAAAGCGTCTAGGGGAGAGAGTAAAATGACAAGATTTATTAAGCTATTGAGCTACAAAGGATAAGAATTTGTGTTGAACAATGATCGCCAACGTCTTGAAAGGAAATAACACATATGAAAAGAAAAATCCAGTTTGAAGAAAGAAATCAATGCGAGAGAAGCACAATTACATAAAAGAACAATCACGAATACAAACATTCTCGTTACGTATTTCTACAATTTGTAGATACCGGATCGATGTGTATTATCTGTAATGGTAATAAACAAACATTTGGCATTCATAGTCTGAGAAGACCACATATTAAATTGGGGTTAGATTTTTAGAATTTGTTATTTTAATTCCTCACTCCACAGACGATTGTAAATATGTGAACTATTAAGGCCTTCATAAAGAACTTGTGATAGTATGGTGGCCATAGTGAGAAAATGGTATTTGGTTTAAGAAAATTAAAATATTTTGGGTTAGTTGGCTAAGTTGGGTCACCTTGCTAAGTTAAATATAATGCAGATGAAGAAAAGACTTCCCCATAGATTTTTGCATTGTGCCAGTTACGCTTTGCTTCACTCCTTAGCTATTAGACTGGAATAAATGTGTAGTTGCTGTTAATATTTAATAGTGACGGTACCATTAGCTGTTTCATTACATATATATATATATATATATATATATATATATATATATATATATATATATATATATATGGGTAGTTGTGGTATGTGTCTGTATTCGTTTATATATTAAACACCCACAGAGAGTTGTTGATACTGCAACTTAGTTACAGTTTCCCGTAAAGAGCGTGTTTCTAGTGTGATCCAATTTGAACAAACCAGAACACTCAAGCCATCGGCCACGATGACATGTGACTTTTTGCTAGCTCAACAATCTACGTCTACCCAATTTCCCTTACAAGGCTTGGGTTGACCCGTGGTATGGTTTGCAGGCATTCTTGCAGGCATTCTCCAAAAAATGGAATCGAAAATCCGATAACATCAATTTGCCTTTTTTGACCATGGTGAGATTCGAACCGGGTCTCATGGTCAGAAAACGTTCACGACATAGACACACACACACACACACACACACGTACACAACATGCAGAAATACACACACATAAATATATATATATATCCATGCATGTATGTATATTATATAGTTATATATATATATATATATATATATATATATATATATATATATATATATATATATGTGTGTGTGATTGTGTGTGTGTGTACGTTTATATGTGTGTGTTTCCTACATTTTCAACCTATTTCAACAAAACTACACAGGGATTCGGTGGTTTGACAGCGCCAAAATTGAAAAACATAATTGTTTTTCAAAATCAATTTGAAAAACACGATATAAGGCATCAATAAAAGGGGACAACTCATATTTTTTTACATTTTTCAAGATTTCAACAAAACTTCACTTTTTTTTTGGCAGGTAGTGTTTCTTATTGTCTTGCACACTTTTTTCTTTATTTTTACATTCAGAATGCTTTAAAAATTCCATTTCCAAGACAATAGTTTATAATAAAATTCTGTTCAATCGGTAGACTCATAACGATTGAAAACAATGTTTTTTTGTCGTTTGGGTCTGACCAATTCATAAAAAAAAAAAAAAAAAAACTATTTCAGACATGCGTGTCCGTCAACCTTAAACAATAATCTTTGTCAATTTTATTTTTCAGTCTTTATGATGATCGATACTTGATCTATCTCTTACTGTTACATCCCGGGCTCTATATATATATATATATATATATATATATATATATATATATATATATATATATATATATATATCACATATAGTACTGGAGTTAATAAAACAGTGCTTAACCAAATATAACAAAGGTATTAGTATTTAATTCAGGTCACGTAAGACAGTAAATCCACCAAGATGCAAAGGGTTGCTGAGTGTAAAAATATATGAGAAAAAGAAAACAGTTTTCATGAGAGAGAACAATAAATGATCATGAATTGAGAAGATGGAAGATAACGATTAACATTGTATTTGAATCTTTGAAGATCGAAGTTGAATGGAATGCAAGAAAACGGAAGAGCGTTCAACAATCGAGAAGTGTCAGAGAATAATCTTCTAGTACACAACTTGCGGTTACATAAAGCCATTACAACTGTAAAATAATGTGAGGTTTCCATTGGTATTTTATTAAAGGTCTTTTAATACATAACATAAACTCAGAAGACCGGAAGTTAAAACCATATTCAACGCATAGATAAATGGTTCAATTTTAAATGTCTAAGATAGTTTCGGTCGGGAAAAATCCTCTTGCACGATATAGTAAACATACGAGCAATATATCGACACTCTCCTTGGATTAATATTCTCAACCTTCCTATTGAGAATTATGCCATAGAGGATTCTTCTTAGATTGATGCTTTTGTACGTTTTCACAACTGTCAGTTTAAAACACAATCTTCTTGTGATACACCAGTCTGTTCAGTCGCTATAATCTATAGGAACCACTTTTTTTCTGATGTACCAGAATGATGATTCCATTCACAACATACGTCTATTTTTGACTGTTTGAAATATTTGTAAACGTGTCATCAAAGATGCTACATCGCTGCTTGTTGATAGAATGAGGTACTGTATAGCCTCTAAAATGTTTGCATCACGTGACTACTGAGGGCTCTATAATGGTCTGTTAAATAAAAGTAAGTCTTCTATCTCCTATCTGTGTACTCCGTTCCAGGCGTTAACATCTTATGAAGCAGAATTTTTTTCTTGTAAATTCCATTTAAATTCTACTACTTACCCCTCTGGATTACATTTGCCAGACATTCCAGTTCGAAATAGGAAACTATTGAATGATTTGCATATAACTCCATGCATGGTTTCTGGTAACATTTCTCAACTGGATCCTCACAAAGCATGTAGACCTGCTGGTATACCTGCAACACACATTAAGTAATAATCTCCTGTACGTTTTCCTGTTCTCTCTAAACTCTACAATAAATGAGTTGCAGTTTCTTTCTCTCCACCTTGTTGGACATTTTATTCTGTAGATCCAGTCTTTAAGACATCTGACGATGGATCTGATCCGTCTATCAGACTATTATGTTTCTATAAATTAATGACAAAGTAATAAAGTGTCTAATTAACACTTTATTGGCTAAGCATGTCACATGGGTCTTCTTTCAAATAAGCAATATGGCATTCGATTCTCTAGGTCAACTACTGATAACAATTATTGCTGAATATGTCTTTCAAAATTTATATAAATATAGATAAAAATTGGTGAAGCTCGGACTGTTGCAATGGAAAACTAGAAGATGGTTTTTCTTAGCAAGAAAAAAAGATTATGATATTTGCGGACGAAATTTAAACTGATTAAGATATTCTTATTAAATCGCGAAATGAAATTTCTCTTGAATGGCGAATCTTCTAGATTTTCTTACATAAATGCAAGGTATTCCCCGGGACACTCTTCTTGCACCTATATTGTTCATAATTTCCTAAATGACATTCCTAGTGTCGATTTGAATCGATAAGCTCGAAATAAGTCTGATATATTAACTGATATGAATTTTTCATCGGCTATTGTTCGATTATTTAATTAATTGTAAATAGTTGAAAAGTGGTGAATTTGAGGCTTTGAGAAAGAAGGTTTTAATGTTGAAAAAAATATGTATAATACTTTCTCCGCAACAGGATACTAATCTTTGTAGCCATATTTATAGATATATTTCGAAATCAAATGTTTAAAAGAAGATTATTTGCATGTGTTTTTGTGACGAATTAGGTTTTAAAACACAGACATGTATATATGGACAGAGATGATTTTGTTCTTTGGTACCAGGTGTGTTTAAACTTATAGCCTCGTGACTAAAATTATTTATATCTGTCCCAACTGAAATAGCCATTTGAGATTTTAAAAACATTTTGTCTATCGAACAGTAAATTTGAAATCAAGCAACCTGCCACCTGTGAGAAAACTGGCACAAAACAATCTTCCTCACCTGTCTTTCTTTCCTATTTAATGCTTTCTTTTTATGTTTTATTTCTTTCTGTTTCTATTTTTCTTCTTACATGAATTATTGATTGATTGATTGATTTTATTCTTTCTTTCTTTCTTTCTTTCTTTCTTTCTGTTCCTCTTTTTTTGTTTCATTATTTACTGCATTATTATATTGTTTCCTTATTAGTGCCTTCTTTCTTTCTTTCTTTCTTTCTTTCTGTTTCTTTTTTGTTTCATTATTTTCATTTTTTGTGTGTCATTATTTCTTTCTCTTATTTCTGTTCTTTCTTTTTTCTCTTGTATCTTGTTCCATTGTTTATTGGTTTCTTTATTTTTGTTCATCTTTTTTCATGTTTTATTATACTTGCCATATATGTTTTTTTCTTTTTCTTGTCACATTATTTATTCTTTTCTTTTTTTTCTTTCTTTGACTTATTTTTCTCTTCATCTTTCTCTTCGTCTTTCACGTGTATCTCCATTACTTTTTGTTCTCTTCATTCTTTCTTTCTTTCTTTCTTTCTTTCTTTCTTTCTTTCTTTCTGTTCCTTATTGTCATGTGTTATTATTTAGTCATATTTCTTTTCTTCTTTCTTTTTCTCTTGTATCTTATTCCATTGTTTATTGGCTTCTTTATTTGTGTTCATCATTTTTCGTGTTTTATTATACTTGCCATATATTTTTCTTTCTTTTTCTTGTAACATTATTTCTTCTTTTCTTTTTTTTCTTTCTTTGACTTATCTTTCTATTGATCTTTCTCATGTTTCTCCATTGCCTTTTTGATCTCTTCTTTCGTTCTTCCAACTTACCTTTTTTTTTATTTCTGTTACCCTTCGTTGTCGTTTCTGTATTCATTGTTTTTCTTCCGTACCTTTGTTTCACCCATATTGTTTCTTTTGTTCTTTTTTGTGATTCATTTTCATCTCATTCTTTATTTTTGATTTTCTCGTCGTTGATTCCGTTTCCTTATGTATTGTCTATTTACTTTCTATCTCTTTTTCTTCTTCTTCTTCCTGTTAATCTTCTTTCTTGATTGCACATTTTCCATTGCTTACTTCATTTTTCTGCTTGTCTTATTCCTTGGTTCATTATTCATTGACATTTTCTTTCTTTCTTTTTGGTTCGTCTTTATTTGTAGTTTCCTTATTTATAGCCATCTTGTATTCTGTCTTTATTTTTTTTTCTGTCCTTTTTCTTTGTTGTCTCCGTATTTATTGCCTTTTTATTTATTTTTTCTTACTTTTGTTATTTCTTTTGTTCTCCCATTCTTTTTTCTGTTCGTCTTCTTTCTTTTTTCCTTACTTATTTCTTCTTTATTTGTTTTCTTACTTTTTTTTCTTCACTTCGTCTTCCTGCTTATTTCTTTCTTTTTCTTACTTTCTTTATTTCTATTCATCTTTTTCTTGTTTCTTTATTCATTTTCTTTCTTTTCAGAAACTTCCCTTACTTTCTCACTTTTACTTTCTTTTTCTTCATTTAAAAAAAAACGTTTTTCTTCATTTGTTATGACTCCTCTCTTATTCTTCTTCATCGCAAACATTACTGCCTTATACCATTCTTCTAAAGTCGCCATATAAATATTTTCTATCATATTATTTATAGTAATATTATGCGTTTTTTTTTCCTCTTTTTTATTTCTGCTTTTATATCAGCTTCTACAATGTTATTGACATATTTGTTATTTTCATTTTATTGAGAGATATCTTCACCAATAGTTTATCTTCATTGAAATCACAATAATCTATAACCTTCGTTCTTTCATTTCTTGAACGTAATTCTTTTCTTTTTCTTTTTGGTTTTATTTTTCGGTTCATTTCACTCATTCCTTATCGAAATACCATATCAGTTTTCATCTTTTATTATCAACAGAATTCTTCTTCGTTTATTAAATCAACGTCTTTTTTATTTAAATTTTTCTTCATTTACTTTTGCACTTTTTCATTTATTTCTTTTTTATCTTCTTATTTGTCTTTGCCCTCTTCTTCTCCTTCTTTTTCTTTATTGTATTATTTCATCTTCAATTCTTTATTCTTACATATTCATTTTACATACGTCTTTTATTTTGCCTTATTTTTCCCCCTGCCTCATTTAGATCATTTATTCTCCTTCATATAAATTCTCAGTTCCATATCATTCATTTATTTATCCTTCTTCAGTTCTTTTTCCATTTTTATTCGCGATATATTTTTATTTTATTTCTTCTTAGCTTCCATTTAATTCTCCTTCTTTGTTATGCAATTATTTTCTGTATTTCATCTTGTACTTTTTTCTTTTCTTCCTCATCATTTAATAATTCTTTTTCTTCCATCCTGGATTTAATTCATTCATTCTTTCTTTTTGTCTTCTTTAAGTTTCCCTATGTATTACCATTTTTCTTCTTTCTTTTTTTTCTTTCTTTCCTTCTTTCTTTCTATCTTTCCTTCGTTCTTTCTTATTTTTTTCTTTTTTTCCTTCCTTCATTCATTCGTTCATTCTTTTTGTTTGTCATATTTCTTCTTTATGTTTTGCCTTAATTCTTTCTTTTTTCTTTCTTTCTTTTTTTTCCTTTATTTTTTGTTTTTTTAATTTATTGCATTTTAATTTTCTATCATTCATGCATTCTTCCATTTTTTCTGTCCGTATACTTACTTATTATTTTTATTATTGTCAGTCTCTCTTTCTTCTTCTTCTTCTTCTTCTTCTTCTTCTTCTTCTTCTTCTCATTATTATTATTATTATTATTATTATTATTATTATTAATTCCTTCCTCTCCACATGAAACTTATATATCATTTTCGCTTATTTTTTTCATTGTCCTCCTTTTCTTTCTCACTTTTCATTTATTCCTCATCCTTCATCTTGGAAATGATCAACATCTGTCTTTAGGACCTTTGGCAAGTCCGGACATTGACGACGTCTCTTATCACTTAGAGTTCTCCCTGACTCTTAGAGCGAATACATCTCGCCATAAAATCCTGCCTTCCAGCTGGCTTATTGATCTGAATTGTTGGCTTTGCTAATCAGACATAACTTCAGTTATATACTTATGTACACTTCTACGGCCGCAAGTGATAGTTCAGCCTTGGGAAAGAGCCAGCTATTTCCCAGTATGAATAAAGTTGATGTGAAGAGGGTGTTTTATTTTGGGATACGATTGTCTAGTCTACTCAACATTGTTAAGACTAAACTCAGAATACAGCATCAGTATATGAAAATGATATTTTGACTTAACGAAAATAATAGTGTTTATCAAAGAAGAAAAGAAGGAAAGACACTTGAAAGGTGAGGAGATGAGGAAGCGATGAAGAAAAGGAAACGATAACAGCAGGGTTATATAAGTTTAAGCGATTGAATAAGATGCAAATAAATGAAGAAAGAAAAGAAGCAAATTACACAGGAAAAGAGAGGAAGGACGAAATAAAGTAAAGATGAAACTGGAATAAGCAAATAAAAGACTAATTTTAAAATATGAGAAAAAGGTATTTTAAAATGGAAATATTTTTAAAAGATATCTAAAAACTAAATTAAATAGGAAACGAAAGTTAAGACGAGTATAAGATATAATTGTCTTTAGACGAAATTGTTTTTAGTATATAACTGTTTAATTTAGTCATCCATTCCCTTTTTGTCTTCTTGCAATTTCTTCGTGCGTTTTTTCCTCGTGTTTTTCTTTTTCATGCGTTTCTTCAGTTCTTCCTCATGTCTTTATCATTTAATTCTCACCTATATATCCTCTTATTATTTTTCATTCATAAAATACATCTAATTTTTTACGTCTTTTTTTTCTTTACATTTTTTTTTGTTCGATTTCTTCATTCTTATCTTTCCTTCCTTCGATTTTTATTCAATCCAGTCCCCATTAATGCTTTCTATTTTCCAAGTGTTCGCCAAAAATTGAGGACAGATTTAAATAGAAAACAGAAAATAAAATGAAACGGAAAATATTCAATAGTAAAATCCGTATTTATTTTTTAAACTATATATATATATATATTTAAGCATTTCACCGCAAGCAAGGCGGGTGTACCACTAGCTCACAAGGGCTTACAGTGAGCGAGCGTAAGCATTTTCGCTTATTTTTCTCAGTGTCCTATTTTTCTTTCTCACTTTTCATTTATTCCTCATCCCTCATCTTGGAAATGATCAACATCTGTCTTTAGGACCTTTGGCAAATCCGGACATTGCCGACGTCTCTTATCACTTAGAGTTCTCCATGACACTTAGGGCGAATACATCTCACCATAAAATCCTACAAAGAGGAGTGTTCAGGGAAATGATAATTGAAAGACCAGGTATCAATATCAAGTCATCAGAAGTTGTCGATAGACATTAAATTTAAATATTTGAAAAGTATAGTTATCAGGGCATCATGTAAGAGAAAGGGAGTTCCACTGTTGTGAAGTGCTAAAGAAGAAGCTGTTGAAGTAGAAGAAACGGTTACATTTAACATTTTCGAAAGCAGAAGGGTGGGAGCGAGATGCCAAATTAGCAGCACGTTTCCATTCATACAGTTGGGGTACAAATTAAAATATCTCGTCAGAGCTGTTGCCATGAAATTATTTGTAGAAAAGACAGAGGGAGGCTACAACACGTCTGTCAGAAAGTGACTGGAGTTAAGATGACAAGTCAGGACCTATCAGATTGCATATCCGTCTTTGGATTTTGTTGAGAACCTCGAGACGAACACCGGGGACACCAGACCTTATATGGCATCAGTATTTAATGCAAGGATGAATGGTAGATTTGTAGATTTAAATGATGGACTCAGACGAGAAAATAAAATATATATTAAAATAAAATTCAAAGGTATCAAGTTGGGGTTAGCTTTTAGCAGACATCAACAAACCACGATTAATGCGTTTCTCATCGTACGATCCATTAACGAGTCTACAGAACTTTGGGAAAAAAACTGCTCCCTCTTCTTTTCGTAGAGGACGAATATATAGTCTAAGAGATAAAAAGCAGGATCAATAACAGTTAAGACATACAGAATGATATATCATCATGCAAATTCACGGCTAATGTAAGCAACGTGTAAGCAAACCGTGTCCTGCTGGAATTTGTACCGTTAACCTCTTGTTGGAAGACTTAATACAACTCGATTTAGAGTCTCAGGATCAATTTTAAAACTTTGGCCACTTTGTTGCTCAGAAAATGCAATAATATTATTAGATATCCCGTGAAGTATGTTTTCCTCACCGTGAGTACCTCCATAGTACTGACTAAAAAAAAAAATAATAATAAAAAAATAAAAACACACATCACTTATTCCCGGTCATTTCATCATCTGGCTTGAATTAGTAATCAAAGTCCCTTTACAATTTTGATAGATTTTGCAATGTTGGACTACTGCATTTTGACAGATATCCAATCATTCTTCTTCATCTTACGATTATCTAATACTAGGCCCCAGAGCCACTCAAGATAGATCGCCATTCTTAAATTTTATGAATTTTGTTGATTTACCCTTGATTTTAAAATGTTAAGATTATAGTGTTCTTGAAAGTATCTACTCGGAAGTTTGTTACACAAAGTAGTATTTTTTGTAAACATTGTTGTCTGAGAGGAAATTGTCGTTACATTTGCAATACGGAGGAATTGGAGGGTTTTTCGAATCTGTTCAAGTAATATGGCGTGTCATTGAAGTAAAGTCTGTAGTCGTAGAAGTAAGGAATGGAGTTCATCTGAATATTTTCATGGAAGTAGCGATTAGAGTAGCTATAGGATTTCGATACTATGACTGTTGAAAAGAAAAGATCGCAGAATGAGAGTTTTTCTTCTCGGACAACACCAACTAACCCAGTTGGTACTCTAGAATGAGGAGCGAACAGGTGCAACGGAAATATGCCGGAAGTTCTACATTTATCTCACATAAGAACTTCCGTTCTGGAAATATTCGCCGTAAACATTTTTGTCGTAGGAAAATTACCTCAGGAATTTTCACTGTAGAAATCTTTGCAGTACAGGATTTTTACCGTAATACAATTATGTCACATTTTTTTTTTGTAAGTACCTTGTTAACAAGTATATCCGGCTTTGATTTTAATAAGCGAAGTTATATGATCAAAATCCTATATCATTCATCGTCGTCAGTGAGGAGCACAAAAATTTCAATTTGACACAAGAACCGTCGTCATGCAATTTCATATTTCAGACTTAACGTTAAACGAGGAGATACAGTACAAATGAAGGAAATATATATTGATATCAATGCAAGACTTTAGCAGAAAATGTTCCGTAGAAATGAAGAAAATATATATTGATATCAATACATGACTTCAGCAGAAAATGCTTCCGTAGAAATGTTGAAAATATATATTGATATCAATGCAAGACTTTAGTAGAAAATGTTCCGTAGAAATGAAGAAAATATATATTGATATCAATGCAAGACTTTAGCAGAAAATATTCTGTAGAAATGAAGAAAATATATATTGATATCAATACATGACTTCAGCAGAAAATGCTTCCGTAGAAATGTTGAAAATATATATTGATATCAATGCAAGACTTTAGCAGAAAATGTTCCGTAGAAATGAAGAAAATATATATTGATATCAATACATGACTTCAGCAGAAAATGGTTCCCTAGAAATGTTGAAAATATATATTGATATCAATGAAAGACTTCAGCAGAAAATGCTTCATTACAGTCCAGTACAAGAAAAACACATTATTTCCAAAGAATTGCTTCGAATTTGCACACATTTTAAATGATTTTTTTGTTAATTTGATATATTTTTGTCATTAATTTTTAAATAAATGTTTACTTTTTAATTTCTTTTCTGATGTTTGCCCCTGTAAAAAGACATCCATATATACTTAATAACAAGGTACTTCCCATATTAAATTGGACATTACTTCAAATGGGACGTTCAAGATATGGGTAGCGAAAACAAAATGAGGTGAAATTGTCTTACGGTAAAAATCCTATACGGCGAAGTTCCTTACGGCAAAAATACCTCAGGCGAGTTTTCCTACGGCGAAAATGTTTACTGCGAATGATCATTCGCTACGAATCTTGTATGTAAGAGTTTGATTTGTATCCTGGAGTGAATTTGTGACTGATTTAAGATTGAGAGCATGGAATCTCTTTGAGAAAGCAATTGTCTATTATGACTAGCGACAACTCTTCTTATTATCATTATTATTTTTCATTGACTGAGAGAGATAGAGAGAATCTGCTGCACGCCAAGAAAATGTCGTTCTGTTAAAAGTATACGAAGCCAAATATACGCATGAAGCCCAGTCTGATAAGGATATTCAAGACATATTAATCATGGTATACGGTATCTTCTTCTTCTTCTTCTTCTTCTTCTTCTTCTTCTTCTTCTTCTTTTTTTTCTTCTTCTTCTTCTTCTTCTTCTTCTTATTATTATTATTATTATTATTGTTGTTGTTGTTGCCTTTGCATTCTGTTGTATACACATTTACGCCCCCAACCCTTCCAGGTCCGAACCAGGGACCTAATGTCAGAAATGGATCAATGGCATTTTCCACTGATCATTTTCCAATATATATATATATATATATATATATATATATATATATATATATATATATATATAAATACCGAAAAAAGAAAAAAAAATCATACGCATTTTACATCGATAAATCTTTTCGGAATGTAGGAGATATACTTATGAATCAATCCTTCGATTCCAAATAAAGCTGCAATTATTGATGTCCCTATATAACACATTTGTGAGATCTCTACTTGTATTTTGCTAGTTTTCTAAAGATCTTCAAAGATACATTACAATACGCAGAGACTCTCAT